GTTAAATTAAAATCATTGGAAAGTCTGGATGAGAAGACTGGCCCCTGGGAATTCTTCTAGGAATAGCACCTCTCAACTGACCCACAAAGTCACTATCTCAGCCATAGCCACAAAGAGGGAATCAGGCACCACTGCCATTGTGTTCCAGAACACACGGTGTAGCTACAACCACAGCGTGTGGAATTTGTCACACTGCTGCCCTCCTTGCCTCCAACAGGCATGTGCTAGTGGGTGGACACAGAAGTGCTGCTGAACACAAACCCAGTGTCTCTGAGTCAGAGCTGACCAGCTCCGGCCACAGCCAGAGATCCCACCTCTGTCTTCCTGCCTTCCCGCCACCTCACAGCTGTTAGTGCCTGACAATAGCTTTCAAAGCTATTCCATAGCTGCAAGAGAGCCTGGGAAATGTTCCTTCTTAGCTCTACAGATGCTGCAGCAGGGGAGGTACCTGGGAAAAGGGAATGAATGCCAAGTGCTGACATATCCATGGGGTGTTTTGTAATTTCTTCTTCTTCTTTTTAAAAAGAAAACAAACAATAACATTAAGTAGGATATAGACAAAAGACATTTTTCAAAATTATTTATTTTATTATTATTATTATTTTTTTCATTTGACCAGAGAGAAACAGAGACAGAAAAAGGAGGAGAGTGAGAAAGTGAGCCGCCAGGTCTGGGACTTGAACTGTGGCCGACCATGTGGGAGTCCAGTGCCTTAACCACCATGTCACTTGCTGATTCTTTTTCATTTTTAAATATTTTTGTCGTAGGGCACAAGTGCTCACAAGAGAGAGGGAAAGTGAGAAATCACCTCCTGGGGGGATGGCCATGCTACAATCCCTTTTCTTCCATTTCTCCCCTACGGCTTTTGTGCATACACAAACACACACTCACATACACACACACACACACATACCTGGTGTGATTTTTAGCCACTGGGTCCAGGACTTGAACCACCTTAACTTCTGTGCCACTTGCTGGCCTCCATAATTTATTATTTTTAATCACTATCTTATCGATGGGTATAGCTTCTTCCCAGTCTTGCTAATATTTATGTGGGATGTAGCCCTTTGTCTCTCTATCTGTTGATAAGTTTCTCATGCCACTTAGAGTTAGGTTCCCTTAATGTGCCTGTCTCCCTAACAGGCTGGGAGCTCCCCCAGGTCTGACTGATCTCTGAGAGTCCAAACCCCAGCCTAGCCTCTAACAAGAGTAGGTGGGTGGGTCTCTGAGAGTCCAAACCCCAGCCTAGCCTCTAACAAGGGTAGGTGGGTGGGTCAGAAGGGAGGCTGGATGAATGGCCGAGTGGAGCAGAAGAGTACATGGGCAGCCAAGTGGGAGGATGGGTGGGTGGGTAAGCAGTGAGATGAATGGACAGGCCATTAGACTGAAAGGCGTGTGATCCCAAGTCCCAGACCCGCTAGGAGCTGATTGGCTCAGGATGGTCTTACAGACAGGTAACCTCCAGACCTGCCTCCCGGGGAGTCAAGATTTTTCTCTGCCTGTCTTTCCCCTGACCTCTGCCCCTTCCCTCTGGCTGCACAACAGCCTTCTCCATTTCAACAGTTCTCTCTTTCTCTTCTCTGTGTTAATAAGTGGGCTGAAGCCCTTTGCCTCAGCTCGATGTGCCCATTGTTCTACTTGCCTGCCGGAGGCCGCTGGGCTTGTCAACTCCACATGAGCCTGGCAGAGCAAGGGACCTGGAGGCTGAGACCCATTTCAAATCCAAGCACTAGCATCCTGGGAAAATGTCTTTGCCTTTCTAAAGCCTCCACTTCCTCACTTTATTATTTTTAGTTTTTTTTTTTTTTTAAGAATTGTTTATTCAATTTTATTTATGATTGTTATATTACTTTGTTATAGGGTACACATACTCACCAGAGTGAGAGAGAGAGAGAGAAAGTGAGAAAGCAAGCCGCCAAATCTGGGACTGAAACTACAGTTGGCCATGTGGGAGTCCAGTGCCCCAACCACCATACCATCTACTGGCGCTTGTACTTTTTTTCTTTTTAAGGTTTTTGCTATAGGGCATGTGTGCTTGCCAGAGAGGGAAAATGAGGAATCACCCCATAGCAGGGATGGTCACACCTCAGTCCCTTCTCTTCCATTCTCCCTTTCTCCTCCTAGGATTTTGGGCACACACCCAGTGTGAGTTTCAAGCCACCAGGTCTAGGACTCAAACCGTGGTTGACCATCTGGGAGTCCAACACCTTAACCACTACACCACCTGCTGGCCCCGGAGTTCTTACTTTAAATAGTCATAATAAACATGCCCCATGGGTCATTATCAAATGAGGCTCATGTGGACTTTATAAACTCAGCTGCCTCTGGCAGGCATTATAAAATAGGCTTTGTAGTCAGAAAGTGCCTTGCAATGGACCCGCTCCTTCAGGGACAGGTGCATGGAAAAGAGGCAGTTGGGGGAACCAGCAGTTAGCGTAATGGCTATGTTGCTGGACTCCCACGTAGTCGGCTGCGGTTCACGTCCCGGACCCGGTGGCTTAAAACTCAGGCTGGGTGCGTGTGCGTGCGTGCCCAAGATCCCGAGAGGAGAATGGAGGAGAAGGGATTGCAGCATGACCATCCCCCCTGGGGGGTGATTTCTCGCTTTCTGTCTCTATGTCTCTGTCTGGCGAGCGCATGCGCCCTATAGTGAAAAATCTCTCAAAAAAAAGAAAAGAAAGAAAGAAAGAAAAGAGGCAGTTGGAAAAAGTCAGGTAAGAGCTCTTTAGGTCATTAGGGAAGGTCAGCCTAGGGCCACTGCCCTCATGCTCCACAGCAGGGGTTCTAGGTCCCATCTCCCGGCAAGGTTACAAGCTGGGCTTCCTGCGGTCTGGTTATTGGGGTGTCTATTACCTGGCACACCATAGGTGCTGGTGAACCAATGAATCCCGTAACACTAGAGGGGAAGAGGTGATTGACAGGCCTCTGGATTACTCTTGGAGGGAAGTAGTGGGAGTCACCTCACTGTTGCCTATCTACACCTGTGAGGCTCACTGCATGGAATTAACCCTGAGAGGCGAGGTGAGCACAGGAAATCTTAATCACGGGGCTAGCAGGTGACATGGTGGTTGAGGCACTGGACTTACACATGGCCAACCGTGGTTTGAATCCTGGACCTGGTGGCTTGCTTTCTCACTTTCCCTCTCTCTGTCTCTCTCTGGTGAGTGCATATGCCCTGTGGCAAATTTAGAAAAAGAATTATAAATAAATAATTATATATAAAAAAAAGAACATCTGAACCATAATCGCGACCCCTGTCTCTGCAGTTCATAAAGAGCTTCCACATCTAGCAGAGTAGCCTAGTGGTAAGGGGCATGGGTTCTGTAGTTAGAGGGCCCAGTGGTTCAGATCCCAGCTCTCCAGCTTACCAGCTGGGACTGTGAGCATCTGTTCGGCCTCTCTGGGCCAATGAGATAACGATGTAACGTGCTGAAAAGAGCACCTGATGCGTACTGCAACTCAGGGAGTTGTCACCCTTCTTCCTCTCCACCTTAAACAGTGGGAGGTGGGTCAGGCATTATTACTGCATCCCCATGATAGACACCTGGAGCCTAGAGGGGGCCCAGCGGGACGGGATGGGGGCTCCCTTTGCACTAGGAAGGAAGGGTGGGGCAACAAGAAAGGCCTTGAGCTTGGAGCTGGGCAAAGAGGAGTTTGAGATATTGCCAGTGAGGACTTACACATGGCCAACCGTGGTTTGAATCCTGGACCTGGTGGCTTGCTTTCTCACTTTCCCTCTCTCTGTCTCTCTCTGGTGAGTGCATATGCCCTGTGGCAAATTTAGAAAAAGAATTATAAATAAATAATTATATATAAAAAAAAGAACATCTGAACCATAATCGCGACCCCTGTCTCTGCAGTTCATAAAGAGCTTCCACATCTAGCAGAGTAGCCTAGTGGTAAGGGGCATGGGTTCTGTAGTTAGAGGGCCCAGTGGTTCAGATCCCAGCTCTCCAGCTTACCAGCTGGGACTGTGAGCATCTGTTCGGCCTCTCTGGGCCAATGAGATAACGATGTAACGTGCTGAAAAGAGCACCTGATGCGTACTGCAACTCAGGGAGTTGTCACCCTTCTTCCTCTCCACCTTAAACAGTGGGAGGTGGGTCAGGCATTATTACTGCATCCCCATGATAGACACCTGGAGCCTAGAGGGGGCCCAGCGGGACGGGATGGGGGCTCCCTTTGCACTAGGAAGGAAGGGTGGGGCAACAAGAAAGGCCTTGAGCTTGGAGCTGGGCAAAGAGGAGTTTGAGATATTGCCAGTGACCTCTGCAGTCCTTAGGGACTAGCCCTATCCCTTCCCTAGATAGGCCGGTAGCTTTATAGGCACGTGAGGCTGGGTGTCTGGTGGTCTCGGTCTGGGCTGGACAGGGCAGTGAGTGGGAGTAGAAGCTGGGGAAGTGTGGGGAAGATTGGCGCTACCACCCTCTGCCCTTTAAAGGGCTTTGCCTGCCTTTTCTGGCACTACCCAACAATGCCACCAGAGGGTGCACCCCTCTTTACTGAGCGAGCCGAAGTTGAGGGTCCTTTTCCTACTGGCAGGCAAGTCAGGAAAGTGGGGGTGAACAGTGGCAAGAGGACAGCATCCTGATCTGGCCGCACAGGCTGAGTCCTAGAGGTGAGAATAGGATCCTGGATATTGCACCTGGGGCACTGAAGAAAGTGGGGTGGAGGGGCCGGCAGGTGGCATCGTGGTTAAGGGCGCTGGACTCTCACAGGGCTGACCACGGTTAGAATCCCAGACCTGGTGGTGTGCTTTCTCTCTCTCTCTCTGGTCAAATTGTAAATAAATAAATAAAATAAAGTTAAATAAAATAATTCTTAAAAAAGAAAGGAAGAAAGAAAGAAAGAGAGAGAAAGAAAGAGAAAAAGAAAGAAAGAAAGAAGAAAAAAAGGAAGAGAAAGAAAAAGTAAGTGGGGGAGAAATGGGACACAGACCTGGTGGGGGTGAACCCTAGTCTGGACACAATTTCTCTTACTCCTCTCCCTACCTCTTGCAGAGTTTTATGATGCAGAAGGAAAGGAGGTGGATTTGAACTTTGGGGGACTCCGGGGCCGAGGGGTCAAGAAGCAGGACCCCCCAATTGAACGGGACCTCTACTTGTCCCTGGAAGACTTATTCTTTGGCTGCACCAAAAAAATTAAGATCTCCCGAAGAGTGAGTACTTGGCTTGCTCCTTCTTGCCCTCCAACCTACCCTCTCCTCCTCTAGCTACCCGGGAGCCCAGTTGTGGTCTCATCTCGGATGGAGTCCTGGACTCAGGCAGAGACCCAGGGCCTCAGAATGCTAGAACCTGACTTTTGGAAGGGACGTTTGTGGTTTTCCTAGTGCAGGAGTCCAGGCTGCAGCCTTCCTCGTGGAATTGGGTCTTTGCCTTCCCCTCTCCTGGTTCTGCCCCCGACTATGGAAGGGGGTGCTGGGAATGGTAGCCGTCTCCTGGGAATCCTCCCTCTGGCATTACCAGGCCACACCCCAGGATTTTGTCAGAGCCTGAGCCCCAGGAGTAAGAGGGAGCATGATGGGCATGGAGGACCGACTGAGAGACAGTCCCCAAGGGTGAGGAAGACCCTCATGCCTCAGAGCCAGTCCAGGCTTGACCCTGTCTCCTGGCTCAGCCTCACCTCTGCCAGCAGAGATGCCGATAGTGGCCATGCTTTCCACAGGCAGCTCCCACGTGGGCCTGTGACCGGGGAATGGTAGACCACAATGGGGCCGTGCTGAGTGAGGCTCCAACAGGTCGACGTCCCCATTCTTCCTCCCTTTGGAATGAAGAGAACTGCAGGGGCTCAGGGCCAGACCTGGAGAGAGGGCCCAAGTGCAAGTCCATGCTCTCTGTGTGTCACCTGGTGGGCAGGGCTGGAGTTGTAGGTTTGACTGACTCATGATCAAGATGGGTGGCATGTTGGCCCAGTCCTAGCCCCCCTGGCTTTTCCTGCCATCCTGGAATTCTAAATTATTATTATTATTTTTAAATATTTTGTTTATTTTTTTAAGGAAGTATTTCGACTCTCTTTATTTACTTATTTATTTATTTTTTTGACCAGAGAGGGACAGAGTGAATGTGAAAGAGAGAGAGAGAGAAGGTGAGAAAGCAAGCCACCAGGCCTGGGATTCAAACCATGGTCAGCCATGTGGGAGTCCAGCGCCCTTAACCACCACACCACCTGATGGCCTGGCATCCTAAATTCTTTGCCACCCTGCTGCAGGTGCTGAATGAGGACGGGTACTCCTCTACCATCAAGGACAAGATCCTGACGATTGATGTGAAGCCCGGGTGGCGGCAGGGCACCCGCATCACCTTTGAGAAGGAAGGCGACCAGGTGAGAGGGAGGGAAGCTGACTAGTACCTGGGCTCGGGGTGGGAGGACTGAGGAGGGAGGCATTACCCTTTCCTGCCCCTGTGAGCCCTGGTTTGGTGGGAGACCAGTCTGCAGCGTGGGTGAGATGACCCTAATGGCCCCACCACAGGATGGGACTCACAATGCTTCTATGAATGAGATTGCCTTCATTTTACGGAGTAGAAAACTGAGGCCTGCAGGCGAAAGTGACTTGCCTAGAGGTGAGCAGACTTGGACAGAGAACCGAGTCTTAACTCCAGCACTCTTCTTATGGGGTAGTCATGCCACCACCCCCCTCCTCTATTTCTCCCTCCTTTTCGGGATTTTGAGCACACATGCACATGCGCCTGGTGTGTTTCTCAAGTCTCTGGGTCCAGGACTAAAACTCCATGTTTGGGGCCAGCAGATGGTGTAATGGTTGCGTCACTGGACTCCTGTGTAATCAACCATGGTTTGAGTCTCAGACCCGGCGGCTTGAAACTCATGCTGGGCATGTGAGTTCATCCCCAAAATCCCGAGAGGAGAATGGAGAAGGCACTGTAGTATGGTCATCGCCCCTGGGGGGTGATTTCTTGCTTTCTGGCATATGCACATGCCTTATAGCAAAAATCTCTCCCTTTTAAAATTATTATTATTATTTTTTTTAGAGATTTTTGCTCTAGGGCACGTGCTCTCACCAAAGAGACAGACAGAAAGTAAGAAATCACCCCCAGGGGGGATGGCCGTGTCAGAATCCCTTTTCTGGCATGTGCACATGCCTTCTAGCAAAAATCTCTCCCTTTTTAAATTATTATTATTTTTTTTTTAGAGATTTTTGCTCTAGGGCACGTGCTCTCACCAAAGAGACAGACAGAAAGTAAGAAATCACCCCCAGGGGGGATGGCCGTGTCAGAATCCCTTCTCCTCCATTCTTCCATTCTCCTCTTGGGATTTGGGGCATGCATGCACATACACCTGGCATGAATTTTAAGCCGCCAGGTCCAGAACTTGAACCACAGCTGACTACACGGGAGTCCAGCGATATAATCATTACATTATCTGCTGGTCCCACAAAAATCTCTCTCAAAAAAACCCCAAAACCAACCAACCAACCAAACAAAAACCTGTGTGGTTGGCCATGTAGGATTCAACGGCCTTAAACACCAGGCCACAGAGCAGCCCTTACGTCACTTATTTAAACTAAAAATATAAGGTTATTGCCCAAGGCACACTGCATCCCTAAGTCCTGAGAAAAGGCAGCATGAGGTGTATTCAGAGCTGAGGGAGATCCATTCTACCTCTGCACTTCTTACCCCCTTTCTTACCTATCAAACAGCTACGTCCCAAACAGCCCTTGGGACCCGGCTCGAACATCCCCCATTCTGGGCAGCTTCCCTCGTGGTTATGACCCCTCTGAGCCCTTGCCTCTGACCTTCTGCTTATCAGTCTTGAGCATGCTGGGAATTCACGGCATGTTTCCCCATCGACTGGGAGCTCCTTGCAGGCAGGCACCAGTAGGATTCCTCTGTCCTCAGTGCCCAGAAGTGACCTTTGCAGAGTTTAACAAAGCTTGGTGAGGGTGTCACCCCTGGAGTTGCTGGCAGGACCGAGACTTGCTGGCAGTTGGCTGGCACCCAGCTCAGTGTCCTACTGCCACTCCAGGGCCCTCTCCCCGGCTCCCCCTCAGGGTAGAGGTCTATTTCAGGCATGTTCAGTAAGCGAGAAGGCATTCTAGAAGGACTCATCTGGGTGGGCCTCACAGAGCAGGGGCTATGGCGGCCAGCTGAAAAGGCCCTTCTCGGAAACCTGGTTTAATCTGGTCACTGTACAGAGAAGGCAGAGCATGACCGAGGTCACACCACCAATTAGTCCTTGTCACCCTTTGGCCTACCCTTCCCAGGGCCCCAACATCATCCCAGCCGACATCATCTTCATCGTAAAGGAGAAGCTACACCCTCGTTTCCGCAGGGAGAATGACAACCTCTACTTTGTGAACCCCATCCCTTTGGGCAAGGTCAGTGGGCAGAGGCGGTGCAGGGGTGGAAGGACCTTGCCTCCCCTCCTACCGTCGGCCACCGTGTCCTGTGGATTCCATCCCAACCTTGGTCTACTCTCTCCTCTCTGTTCATCCCCACTGTCCTCACTCTCCTCCCCTCCTCAGGCTCTCCTCCACGGAGGCCTTCCCACACACCCCAGACGTGCCTCACTCCTGTCCAAACGTCCGAGCATGGACCTGGAGACCCTGCACCATCTGACCACTGACACATCCCCTTCACCCCTGCCCCTGCAGTGTTCTCTCCTTCCTCTGGGCCCTCTGCTGGAATGCTGTCTACTCACCTTTCTCTTCAAGGCCCTCATGGACTGCTGGCACTGCAGTTTAGCCTTCCTGTCCCACTCCAGAATGGCATAGAGGCCCCTCCTTGGCTCCCACGTCCCCTTATTTTCACCTCAATCAGAGTTTCTACACCGTATTGTCAGTCTCACCTACCAACCCACACACTCCTAGAGGGCAGGTGATTGCTGATCATTCACCCATGAGTTCTTGAACAGCCTTTTGTCTCCCTGGTGACCAGCTCAGGGTCTGGCACTGAGTAGGCTCACCAACTGCCTGCTAATAGGACAGCCTGATGACCCTCCCCACGACTGCCTCTGGCCCTGCCCCCACAGGCTCTCACCTGCTGCACTGTGGAGGTGAAGACCCTGGATGACCGGCTGCTCAACATCCCCATCAATGACATCATCCAGTGAGTCCCTCTGCCCGGGGTCCCGGAAGCAAGAGGAGGGCCGGCCTGGGGCTGAGGGGGTAGTGTCGGAGAGGTCTGCCTGGCGCAGTTTGTGTAGGCTGCACATGGGGCCCCTGCAGGTGGCAGGAGGCCTGGAATCAACCCACATTGGCCATGTGCAGGCTGTATTCACCTGCAGAAGGGTGCCTGTTCCTCATTTGTGCAGGGCCATGGCAGAGGCTAGCACCCCAGTGCTGGGCAGTCCTTACTGCCTCCATCCCCCAAACCTCTTCTTGGAGTTCTGAGCCATACCCCTAGATGTTTTCCACTTTTTTTTTTTTTGTTATAGGGTGTGTGCATTCACTGGAGAGACAGGGACAGAAATCGAGAAATCACCCCCTTAAGGGAGATGGCCACGCTGCAATCCCTTCTCCTCTATTCTCCTCTTGGGATCTTAAGCAGGCACACACAAATGCCTGGCATGAGTTTTAAGCCGCCGGGTCCAGGACTTGAACTACAGTCAACTACCTGGGAGCCCAGCAACATAATCATTATGCCATCTGCTGGTCCCTAGACCTTTTCTTTCTTTTTTTTTTTGGAGAGGTTCTTGCTATAGGGCACGTGCACTCACCAGACAGACAGAGACAGAGAGACAGAAAGCGAGAAATCACCCCCCAGGGGGGATGGTCACGCCGCAATCCCTTCTCCTCCATTCTCCTCTCGGGATCTTGGGCATGCACGCACACGCGCCCGGCGTGAGTTTTAAGCCACCGGGTCCGGGACACAAACCGCGGTCGACTACATGGGAGTCCAGCGACATAGCCATTACGCTAACTGCTGGTTCCCTGGTGTAATCAAGCTTTTAAGGAGATCGATGGGTGGTGTGGTGGTTAAGGTGCTGGACACGCCCACATGGCCGACCACAGTTCGAGTTCTGGACCTGGTGACTTGCTTTCTCACTTTCCCTCTCTCTCTGGTCAAATTAAAAATGAATGAATAAAAATTTTTAAAAACCCCAGAAAACATAAAACAGCCTTTTCAGGAAGAGTGTTTTTGGAACAAGCTAGCTTCTTCTCCCCTCCCTCCCGGCTCTGGCTGTAAAGAGCCAGGCCATGCAGAAACCTCAGTTGATGGCCCCTAAGGTCATGTGGGAAGGGGTGCATGGGGCCTAGGGAGGTACAGTTCTGGGGGTCCCACTAAGCTCCCTTTTTTCATCCTCTCCCATCTCAGTCCCAAGTACTTCAAGAAGGTGCCAGGTGAGGGGATGCCGTTGCCCGAGGACCCCACTAAGAAGGGGGACCTCTATATCTTCTTCGACATCCAGTTCCCCACCCGCCTCACACCCCAGAAGAAGCAGATGCTGCGCCAGGCGTTGCTGACGTAGCGATGGAGGGCGGGGTGGGGTGGGGCCTGGGAGGACTGGCGGGGCCTCAGGTGAGCAGTGGAGCCAGCCCTGCACAGATGTGACCTGGGTGGGAGGGGACTTTAAACGATGTAATAAAGATGTATTTCCGATCCTCTAGCTCCATCGGGGAGAGTGCTGTTGGAGGGAGGGGAGCTTCCTGCCAGCCCTGCCCAGGAAGCAGAGGGAAGAGCTACACCCAGGAAGCTGGGTGCCTGGGCCTGTCCTGGCTGTGGTGGGCAATCCTGAGGACTCAGCCTCTGCGCTCCCACGGAGTAGGGTGGGGCAGGACCTCTGAGGGTCCTAGCTCTGTTCTGACCTTTGTGATGTGACTTTAGGAAGGGCAGTCTCCACTGTGGTACAGCACATTAGATACAGGAAAACTAAAGCAGAGAAAACATTTGTCCCACGCCACTGGGCCTAAGTGGCAAAGCTGTCATCAGTCTGGAGGGCCACATCCGATAGCCCCAGCCTGCTTAGGTCAGAGGCCGCACAAGGCCCAGGAGCATTAGAAACGACTTCGGTGTCCACCTCCAGGCCTCCAGGCCCTGTATCTGCAAGATGGGGCCTGGCCATCTCCAGGCAGGGCAGTCTGGGAGGCAGGAAACCTGGCCTGGGCCCCAGCCCTGCCCAGTCTCATCAGAGAGTCCCTACTGCCTTCTCTTCACCCAGGCTTGTGAGGCCTGAGAGCATCGATGTGAAAGTGCTTGGACTCTGCTCAGGTACAGGGTCCCAGCATGGCTGCCACACGGTCTGGAGTTCTAGCCTCCAGGGCACCTGTGCCTGCGTGGACCCCACTTCTGTTGAAGCCAACAGGGCCTCGTGCTCTTCCAGGCAGGGAGTCTGAGCCTGGGTTACCATGGGTCCACCAGGCTTAGGGAGCAGAAGCCGCTGCTGTGGCAGCTTCAGAGGTGCCAGAAAGCCCTGTATTACTCATCTCACTTGGACACTGTTCAAAGCACCATATTGGCTTAAGACATTTTTTTTTAGAGAGAGCTTTTTGCTATAGGGTATGTGTGCTCACTGGAGAGACAGAGACAGTGAGCAACCACCCCCTGGGGGGATGGCCACACTCCAATTCCTTCTCCAATTTCCTCTTAGGATCTCGGGCATGGACACAGACTCACCCAGTGTTAAGCCACTGGGCCTGGAACTTGAACTGCAGTCGATTATGAGGTTGTCCTGCAACATAATCATTACACCATTTGTTGGTCTCCCAGAATTTTTTTCTTAAAAAAACCTTGAACGCCTGGTGCCAGCAGGTGGCATGGTGGTTACAGTGCTGGGCTCCCCACATGGCTGACCACAGTTCAAGTACCAGCTTGAAACTCAAGCCAGGCGGCATCTGTGTGCGCATGCCCAGAACCTCAGGAAAATGGAGAAGTGATCTTGGCATGGTCATCTCCCCTCTCCCCTGAGGGGTGAGTTCTTTCCACTCTCTCAAGTGGGCACTCTTGCCCTCTGGCAAAAAAAAATTAAAAAGAGAAAATCTTGAAGACCCAGTAGTACATAGTGGCTATTTAAAAATCACCACCACAGCAGCAGCAGGCCTGGAGTTGATAACTCTGGGTTCAGGGTTCTAGAAGTATTTTGGCACAAAGGTGAAAAGGCACTTGGGCTTCAAGGACCAGATGACTTGGCTGTCACTGGACTCTCACATGGCTGACCAGTTTTGAGTCCCAGACCCAGTGGCTTGAAAAATCATGCTAGGTGTGTACACCCAAGATCCCAGGAAGAATGGAGAAGGGACTGTGGCATGGCCAACGCCCCCCCCGGGGGGGGGGGTGATTCTCACTTTCCTTCTCATTGTTTCTCGGAGTGCACACACCTTAAGACCAAAACTTCTGGGGAAAAAAAAAAATCCCAAGTGTGGTGTTAAGGTGTGTGCTCTCGGGCAAACTGCTTGGCCTCTCTGAGCTGGTTTCAGAGTAATGAGTACACCCCATCTTGCAGATCTTTGGTGAAACCAGATGAGGTGGACTCTGCCCTTGTAGGCAGGACCCACGTGGAGCAGATGGTGGTGGCAGCTGCCCTGGGAGGGTGGAGCAGGCCCGGATTGGGTGGATGCACGGGTGGGACCTGTGGTGCTCCAGGTCTCCCTGGCGGGTGGGAGGAGGGCCTGCTCCTAACCCTTCCAGGAGGGTCTAGTAGGAGCTGGGTTGCAGATCCAATGAGACCATTGAGTCCCATTGCCTCAGTGAGTCCAGTGCTACCTTGAGCTGGGCAAAGCAGGCCTTAGCATGTGCTTCCCCACAGCTGTGGACGGAGGGATCATGTTATGAAGACCCCACCATCACCCACTCTGCTCTTCAGGGCTCCTACTCTCTAGGGGTTCTCCTTTCTTGGCTCCTCCTCATCCCAAGGTCCTGCCCAGACCCATGATGAAGTCTGGTGGCCGGGTGTCCAGCCCAGTGCCTGGGAACAGGCTGAAGGAATCAGCTGGCAGCCAGCTCACCCTTGGCCTTTGGGGCCCTGCATCCCCACCCAGGGGCAGTGAACTGCCCCTTTCCTCGGAGCAGCCTTCTCAGGGATCACGTGAGAGAACAGGTTCACAGATGGCACTGACGCCCTGTGGCCCAGCCTGCTGCCTCGACTCCGCCTGTCCCTCCTGAGCACTGAGGCTGAGTGAACAAGGGGCGGGCCAGCAGCAGGTCAACTGCTTTGGGGGGCCAAAGGGTGTGTCGTTGGGGCCTGGTTCCACAGCTGCCAGATAGGCTTCCCCAAGGACCCCCAACTCTGGAAGTGCAGAGTCCAGGAAGCCCTCCTCTCCAGGAGCTTCTTCAGCCAAAGATGGGCCTGGGGAAATCATTCCGAGGGCCTAGCTGCAGGCTGTGCCTTGGGACTGAAACATCACTGGAAAGCTAGTTCCTCAAAAGATAAGTGGCCCTGCTTGCTCACCTGCATTCCT